TGAATGTTTTCTCTGTTTGTGAGTTTCTGTGTTACCAACATTTTGATGTGCCACGGATAAGGATCACTGGCTGATTAACCCCTCGGTTTGGACAGTTGGGGAATGGTTGCGTAAACCCTTCTGCCTCTCTCTCCCTCTTTCTCTCTCTGCCTCTTTCTCTCTCTCTGTCTCTCTCTTCCTCCTTCTCTCTCTCTCTCTCTCTCTCTCAGTCTGCCCTTACTGATACAGCTTGGTGCTTCAATCTTACTTCTCTATGTGTTATTGCTACCACGTAAATTGCTATAGAACGCTTAGATATCTTTAAACATCGATTTAGAACAAAGAATGGCACATTTTCAAAAGTATTTACTATCGCACAGGTCAAATGAACACATTATTTGCCTCATGGTTGTAACATACGGACCTAACCTTTTGCAGCACGTTAACGCCCATGTTTTATGTAAGGAAAAAATTAGGCAATGAGATAAGGAAATGAGATGACACTGCGGGTGTGTTCCTAACAATGACCCGCTAAGGTTATTACGTCAAATTACATTTTAAAGCAAATGATACTCTATTTAAGTTGAAGTTTACCTCGATGTATAATAAGGCAGTTTTTACACCGAGTGGTCTTCCTTGGCGATAAAATTGTACTGCTTGAGAGACTGATTTCATACACAGTCGTAGGAAGTCACCTAAACGAAACAAATAACTTCTCCTAACACTGGAAAGCGACCTTGTGTAGTACTTTTTAAAGAGAGTTAAGTCCTGTGGAGTGATTACATGTAAGGTCCGCTCCAAGTGTACCGGTACATCCACTAAATATACCTATGTAATACCTATATAATACCTATATAATATCGATATGCATAAACTAAACAATGCCAGCACTGCAACGAGTGTTCAATTAGTTTGCCATGGAGTACTCCCTTTTACGAGCAGCATGTAACAATCAAAATTTATTATCCGTTCAGGTCGTGTCGAGCGCTGGGGCTCCGTTACAGAGATAACTCTACGTATGAAATTCAAAATTCGACAATAAGTACATTGTAAACTACACCTCAAATGTAATAAAATTGCATTTTACCGCCAAAATTGTAATTGTAATATTTGGATATCGCGAGGTAGATCTGAAAAAGGGCTCAGAAAGAAAAAATGGAGATTATCAACGCCTAAGTACCCTGAGTGTCCGACTTCTACTGCACTGAGCAAATCTCTCGGTTCGGAATCCTTCACTGCATGACAAACACGGAATACTCGTGCTCCTTTTATGCTAGACCTTTTCTCCTTCATATAAATTCTCTGCGCAACGGTACCAACAACCTTATGTCAGCCTGACTGGTGACTTATACAAAGGAAAGACGTGTACGCGCACGCCGTTTTCTATATTTCTCTTTACCTACATTTGGATTATAATTAGCTTTAGACACGATGGGATGAAAATAGGGATATAGTAGATACGAAACATTGTGCTTATGGAGTTCTTCGATAATGAGTTTAAGAAGAAAAAAACTTGACACGGATATACTTACTGACAGTACACTTTTATGAACATAAGGGCTGGTTGCTTTTAAATAAATTCACCCATTGGTATGATATACATGTATACTTTGTACTTAGAGCAATCAAAAACCTGCAAAACAAAAGTAAACTTGAAAGCACTTCAAAATGCGCCCCCCCCCCACCACCGCACCTTTGTTAATAACCCGCCATTATGTAAAAGTCCAATAAATGAAATCAAGAAAAAAATGTGTGTCAAAAATATATTGCCCTCTTTAATTTTAATGTCCCGTCAAATGTATTAAGGTCGCCAACAAGGAAAGGCTTGTTCCTTTAAGGCAACCCCCTGCTCGAACAAAGACACCTCTATCTAATGAATAACGGCAAGGTTAAAACCAGCGCATATACAATAAACCTATTTTAATAGGTAAGCATGCAATGGGAGAGAGAAATTAAGTTCAAAGTTTAAGCAAATCCTTGCCCCCCCCCCCTTATACTAGTACAGGGATACAGCAGTTTACAAAAGCACCATGCGTATGTTTATTTCTTTATCAATCTGTCCCTCTTGTCGTATAGCCACCTTGCCCTTGTCCCTCATACACCCATTGTTTAATATAATTATGATATGGCTGCATATACGTTTTATCACAGTATATGATACTCTTTTTTTTCATCCACGGGTATTTGTAAATGTGTCACGTGTGTCACACACCCACCTGTTTGCATATCTAAAACACTTGGCATATTCAAGTGCTGTAATATTGTTGGATGCGTAGTGAATTGTTTGTCAGGTACTTCGGGTATGTGACAGAGCACAATATAGTCACCACGTGAATCTACCAAGGGATACGCAGTCTCGTACCTGGGGAATAGGGATATTTAGGCATCTAGTGATGTTTTAATAAGAAGCATTAATGAAAGACAGCAATCAATCAAAATATTTACAGTGAGATTATTGTAATTATGAACGTTTTGCGGTGGAAGGGTTAGAATAAATTGATAGCCATCTACATCAGTAAGAATAAAAACTATTTTAGTAAATGTTGTCGCTCGAAATATAACATACTGTTCATTAAACCCAAAGGATATTTAAAGCATTGACTTGAGAAATAATTTTTGTCAAGCTAAAATCTCGCTTGTGTTTTTTTCCAAAAACGTGACTATTGTTATAAGTGGATGGTGGTGGTATGGAAACTATTTTTATTTACGGACTACTGATATTCTCATATACTCATATATTCATACTCGTTGTCATAATCCATTGTCAAATTTGAGTGTCCAAATCCAAAACGGATGAATACCTGCATCAAGGGCAAGGGAAAGCATGCTTACACGCATGCGCACACATTCGCACACATTCGCACACATTGTTGGTGGTATCCGAGGAAACCACTCGGACGTGGTTTGCATTTTTTAAATGAAAAGCATCTATGCTCTGCATGCAACCGTGTTCGAACGCACGTACACACACACTTTACAAAAGCTTGGGTCGAAGGCCGCTTGGAGCTTCTGCCACAGAAGTCTTCCAAAAATACTGGGTGTGTTCAACCATTGCGTATTGGTAATTTGGCTTATAGTTTCCATGACTGGTTGATTTTAACCCCTGGATGGAACCGTGTTACGCAATAGGGCATGCGTATTCAGTCTAAGATGAAAGGTAATGAAGATTCTTCGTTTCCAAATGAGGAACAATAACGAATGGGGCACGAGGTCGCCGAATAATAATCCCATTCACAAACCACCGGTGGGCAAATTAGATCAGTGCACGACAGCAAGCCAAGCGTTAGGCCAAGGGACCATTGTTCTGAACCGTGAAAAGAATTCGGTAAACAGAATGTCTGCATGCGAATGAAGGATTTAAATGAATTATAAACCTGTTTGCGTTATATGTGCACGTATACTTAAAAGAATCAATATATTTTGGGTGGCCTTTTGGTATCGCTTGGTAGTACTATGGTGTCTTTACGCATGCGGCTTCACACCATAAATGCGTGAACGTGTGCAATTACACCATTTGTCAGTAATCCGTCCAATATGTCGTCAAATGTGCCCTAAGCTTACTAATTGTTTGAATCAATTCCATGTTTGATGCCGCGCTTCCTGTACGCCTGCTTTTACGTATGTATGTTAATAAGAAGATAGCAACGAATGTGATGGCAAAGTTTGTTATGAATAGACTTTTTGATAAAATAATAATAATAATAATAATAATAATAATTTTATTTTATTTACGACTCACAAACTAAAATAAAACCCACCCTACCAAGGTTTATGAGAGGATAAAACCTGTGATAGTACATTTAAAATTCATGAAAGTTCTTTAAGATTAATTACCTATCAATTAAATATTCTGTATAAAACTTTCGTCTGCATTAGATTTACTTCTCCTCCACATCGCTGTGTGTACTTTTCTTGCTGTCTTAAATTGGATCTGGTCATTTTGCATAAGAAATTTAAACTTTTTGTTATAAAGTGTCATAACAATGGCATGTCTATATCGCCTTCCTCTCAACTATTGTCTTATGTGATATCTTCTACTAATTTTTCACTGTCAGTATTACGAGTACCCATGCAAGTGTTTCAACTATTTCAGCTTGCTAACGCAATTTATTCATTAGAAAAACAAACCACTGATTACAATTGCTTTACCTACTATTCCTCTCTTACTTTCGTGGTTTAGATCAAATACCAGTTCCACTTACAATGGAACCTAATGTTTCTGTAGCAACTTACAGACATAATCAAGGGTGAGGCATTCTATACCCCTTGTCGTCATAATGAAATAACGACACAAACGCTTTATGCTTTGCTTAAAACGTTTCAATATTAAAAGCTGAGTATATTCATGGAATATATTAATACCCATGCAACTCTTTTAGAACAGTACTTTGTTATATAAAAAAGAGTTTTTCGAGTATAAAGCACTTACACATGTAAGGATTTGGTAAAATACAGAGCTGTTAATTTGTTTGCAAGGCATTTGTGTCGTTTTGCACAGACAACGCGTGTGTTCCTCGGCACTAAGGGCAAATTAAGTCGATTTGTGCCAATTTGAGGGAGATTTAAGTTATGTCTAACCACTGCGAAATAGGTTTATGCCATTTTTAAAGATAGGGGCTTCAAGCAACTCCTGACGATAAAAATTCCACAATATTTGCAACAACAGCAGTCTGATAAATATAACGCCAGCAATATTCAACTATTTTCAATTAAGAAACATACATCAATAAAGGCATTCAGAGGAAACGATTCATTAACCCGACTGTTTCTATGTTTAATCAGGAGACCGCATGTTAAATGCACTTAAAGATGGCCTTTGCTTTTGCCAAACACAAAAGACTGTTCAAAGATTGACCCCGGCACGTTATAAACTGTTCTACGGTTGCCGTTATGCAACCGGCACGATGACCCCCAGATAAACCCTCACTTGCAAACAAAGCGTGAAAAAAGGACGGTATGAGGGGGTTTAGGTAAGAAAATTCGGGTCTCTGGGAGCTCGAGTATCGAAAGACCCCAAGTGTAACCTCGCAAAGGCCTCGTGGTATAAATAGGCAGCTGGGATGGGAAGCTGAGACAGACTCCTGGACCTTCCTTGACATTGGAGCCGTAAGGAAGATCTCTTAAGGTACGTGCCTGCTTGACCAGTATTGGGGACGCACGCTCGCTGATACCGACTGAGAGAAGGGTGCTTATTTAATGAATGGCATGGTTTATTGGTGGTGTATCACAGGCTGCGCTTCATTTTAAATTTCTGCTGGTGTATATATGTATTCAAAGGTACCTGGCGTCTGTTTCTAAATATCCAACGGTAGGCCAACTGGGGTTTAATGCCTTAAGATGGAAGGACAGAAGCACTTTGTAGATTATCCAATCACTTTTCTGCAAATGGTACTCATCGTTGGCACTCTGAAAGTGAAATTGGCAAATGACAAATCTAAGAAAAAAAGTAAACAATTTTATCTCAAAAATACAATTTTTACCTTTGAAATAGTTCGTTCTTCTTTCACAGACTGGAATATAAAGCTTTTCTTACTGATCGAACCTGGCTTTTAAAATGCCTAATAAGCAGCTTTAACACGTGCTTATTAGATGTATCCAAAAGAGCGTTATAGCATCCAAAAGAACAACCCAGCATTATTGCACTTAACTTGCTGCAAATGTACGAATATTTTCTGAACTGCTGTTACGAGGAAAGCTTTTCATTATCACGATGAGTATCAGCATTGCAACTTCGGGAAATAACTAATCATTTGTTGGTTAGGGGTTACGGGCTCATTCTTCCACGTAACAGTAAGTATCATACATCGGATACCCATTTTGGCTCTAAACTAGGAACCCCAATCTTAGGACTATTTTATCTCACCTGCGATTTTTTTACATAACGTAATCTGGGGAAAGACCATAAAACAAATTTAATCATGTCTAAACTATGACTTTTTTAAGTTTGTAAACTAAAACTAGTTTGATATCTCCTTACAGGGAGCAGTAGCTTATCGTAAAATCCCCTAACGGCCTCATGTAATTGACAAGTTGGTAAAGAGTCATTATTTTCCAATTGAAGGGAAACTTCTTATCCACACGCGATGAACGCTAGACATGCATTTTTAAAATTACAGTTGCTTGGCATTGGTGCGTTTATCGTCTGTTTATCACTGATGGTCACAGACGCCTTTTGTCTTATTTAGTAAACGAAGTTAATCATTCAGATCACGCGTGCCACAATCCCTTAGACAAGTTATGTCATTTTAATGTGCGGTTTACTTTCAAATTGCCTCCTTTAATCAAACGTGACCGACATTGATTAAAAAACTAATGATAAATACATAAGATAATCAATTTGAATCGAGCGGAAAAATCATCTGCGATAAACGGTTTATCATATAAATATGCAATAAAATTACCACTGAAAATAAGAATCAAATGCCAGTAAATTATTACAACCTAATCTCGCATTTTTCTTTCTAAAGCAATTAAGGTCTGTATCCGTATATTTCTCATTTCCAGGATATGTCAGAGATCTTTTAAAATGTTTAGCTTTCTCTTTTGCTGTCAGTTTGAGAGCACGCAAAATTACAGCTAGTCAGAATCATACAATTCTTTTATTTAAACAAAGGTCTATCCCCCCCCCCTCCTCTTTTTCGTCATGGGTTGTTTATTGACTTGAGACGGTAATAGACAGGTCAAGTACATAGATTGCAAACAAGCAACTAGTGTCCGCGAGATTTGGTTATGGTACCCTCACGTGACAGAAAACCATTAGCGTTCATATAAGGGAGGCTCTGATTGGACACGCCGTTTTTCGTCCCATCAACGCATAATGGAAGCTATTGTTTCACTACCGCAATAGGCGCGCCGATGACAAATTACATCGACATACCTCCTAAACTGAGCAGACGACAATGGTCTTGTTTTCGAGAAAATAGTTTAATAACAGATTGAAGCGTATTTCCGCCTTAGGTCTCCCTGAAAAGACAAAATAACGTACACTTGTTATTTCGACTTAAAACACATAATTTGGAATCTTTACTACTACTACTATAGCCTTGATGGTGATCTTATTCGAAATTATGATTACTTTAGGATATCTATTCACTTTAGATGTTTTTAGGTGCCATAATTATCGTAGTGACCGTTTTCAGATGCTCGATTTAATGTCTTGATAGTCAGTATCAAAACAAGCGGACTTTAAAACTTCACTTTAACTGAAATGAAGTAGAGAACGCCTCTTACAAGTTTTTTACTTCCTAGTTTGGAGAAAGGAATAAATTCTTCATTAGCAGTTCAGAAATGTCGGTTGCATCTTTGACACAAATCGTCTAGTAAAAAAAACGATATACATGTACTTTTCCATCGATGTGAAGTTGATTTAATAAACCATAATTTGATTTAATCATTTGCCCCAATCAATCAAACTTGAAATCTGTAAGCAGAAATTATAGCACCGTCAGGATTTACTTTACAGCATTCTGTCCGATTTTCAGCATGACGTAATAGGGTTCGCAATGTCGTTCCGGCGGCATGATTTGAAGGTCACATTTGCTAACCTTTCATCTCTGAGCACTCCAGCCACGACACAGTGCATGGTGCTATCAATTAAGGCACAATAGCTATTTGTTCGTGAGCTTTGACATCGCCTTCTGATCAATGACATGTGTTTATTGTACTTACACTTTATTCTATCTGGTTAAACAATATTCCTTTTATTCTTACTTGCTGATTCAAACCTATCAATCATTTTGATTGAAATGCCTTGCATTTTAAAAAGCCATTAGACTTGAAATCGTGCAGTGGAAATATATTTCAAATGAATGGCACAATTTCACCTTTATTCTTTTTTAACCGGGTAATTGAATTCTTGTAAAACGATGACATGTTTTATATATCATTTACATGAATATATTTAACTTTTCTCTCTTATATAGTTAATACTATGGAGATTTTACCATTCAAGAGTTTCCGCTTTTTTCGACACAGACTGCCAAGAATTCCCCTCAAATGAATATGAATATGAATATGATACCTTGGTTTTAATAAATGCGTAGTACAAATGTATCAATGAAAATACAATTTCTTAATGTCACCACTTAGTGCAATAGTTTTAATCTCATAATACCCTATTATTTTTAAGTTTTTGCTCTTTCAGACAAGATGCATTCGTGGCTAATTTTTGCCACTCTTGTGGCTGGCAGTAAGTGTCTTTTTTCTTTTACCGTAATTTACGATTCAAACAAAAAGAGTGGCGAGGGTTTTGGAAATGTGGAATGACACTGATGGAGGAAAAAGACGACTTAGAAAGAATGCCATGTCAAGTCATGCAACGCTTTTTAAAGCTTAAATAAAATATATTTATATCATAAAATCTAAAGGCACCAGGTCTATCTTATGAACAAAACATGTTCTTATTGTAAAAAAAGAAAAAAAAAAAAAAACACGGCTAGTACCAAGTATACATAGCATTATGCAAAACGATCTCTGTACAAGTACATTGTTATTGTTATCATTGAGAATAGTGACCTGTATTGCATATACTTACTTTCTTTCAGGCTATGCCTTAAATCTCGCTTTTTACTCTTGCTCACCCAACCCATGTTTGAACGGTGGTGCTTGTATTAACAGCGGAATTTATGGCTTCACATGTAGATGCGCTCCAGGATTCAGCGGCATTGTCTGTCAATTTGGTAAGTACAGGCGGGTCCAGTTGTAGCGGCCATGGAAATGTCCCGATGAACTCCATACATAATGTAATGAACTTACAATTAACGATACTAAGTATACAAGATATTCCATGTTTTTTCACCCACGTCAAAGAATTTGATTCAGTGTATTATATTTGTGCTAATCAAACTTTAATGATTTACTGAAAATTGATCCGAACGATATTTTGATCAACTAAAATATTGGACAATATTCCTTTTTTATCTCTGCAATTTGAGTAGGTCGCAGCTGTTTTGAACAAAACAGCTTTATTAATCAAACAGCCTCAGTTTTTTTCGACAAGAACTTAATAAACTGACGAAACATGAGTATGGTAATTCGGATGCACTTACTCTTTCTTATACGTAATCTGTTTTCATTTTAGATGCTTCTGGTGATCTTGCTTGCTTCACCAGAGCCTGCGCTGGTCCAGCTGGTGCCCCAGGCGCCCAAGGTCCAGCTGGTGCCCCAGGTGCCAGTTTTGCAGGTATGTTGACAATCTGTAAAAAGGAATCTCAAAATAATTTTATTATTTTTTGTTGACAAGTTGGTTATCTATCGGAACCAAATTGGGTATTGTTTTACATTCAACGTATATGACCAGCTGGCGATATATGGTTACACATTGCATTTGTGTTCAATAGGAAGACCAGGCAAGGATGGTTTACCAGGTGCCCCAGGTAGGGATGGTGCCGCAGGTGCTCCAGGCAAGGATGGCTTCCCTGGCCGCCCAGGCAAGGACGGTTTTGCCGGTGCCCCAGGCAAGAATGGTAAACCAGGTTTCGACGGTCTTCCAGGAGCCCCAGGCGCCAAGGGAGATACTGGTAAATATATTTTTCATACAGCTTTATTTGCGCGATAATTTCGGTAGACGTCAATCGAAATCATAGTTCATTTTCTTTCTACTCATTTTAAGGTTTTTATTTATATGTACGAATTGAAAAATGTTTGTCTTGCTTTTTTACAGGTTTCACCGGTGCTCCAGGCAAAGACGGAAAAGCAGGTTTCAATGGTGCCCCAGGAAAGACCGGTGCCGCTGGTCCAGCTGGTGCTCCAGGCAAAGATGGCTTCCCAGGTGCCCCAGGCAAGCCAGGCAAAGATGGCTTCCCAGGCTTCCCAGGCAAAGACGGCAAGCCAGGTTTCACCGGACGCACAGGCGCTAAAGGCAGCGCTGGCTTCCCAGGTCTTCCAGGCAAGAATGGCGCTGCTGGTGCCGTTGGCGCTGTCGGTCCAGTTGGTGCCCCAGGAAAGGATGGCAAGAATGGTTTCAATGGTGCTCCAGGCAAAGATGGCCTCTCAGGATTCCAAGGACCAAAGGGTGATACTGGCTTCACAGGTGCTCCAGGTGCTAATGGCAAGGATGGTCTCAATGGCGCCCCAGGTGCTGATGGTAAACCAGGATTTGCTGGACGCCCAGGCAAAGATGGCAAGCCAGGTGCTGCTGGACGCCCAGGCAAGGATGGCTTCCCAGGTGCCCCAGGTGCTAAGGGTGACACTGGTTTCACCGGTGCTCCAGGCAGAAACGGTGCCCCAGGTGCCGATGGCAAGAAGGGTCTTAATGGCGCTCCAGGCAAACCAGGTTTCGCTGGTGCTCCAGGCAAAGATGGAGCTGCTGGCCCAGCTGGCAAGCCAGGTAAGGATGGCCTTAACGGCCTTCCAGGCGCTGATGGCAAGCCAGGTTTCAATGGTGCTCCAGGTGCTAAGGGTCCAGCTGGTCCAGCTGGTGCCCCAGGCAAGGATGGTTTCTCAGGTCGCCCAGGCAAGGATGGCAAGCCAGGTTTCCCAGGCCCAGTAGGTCCAGTTGGCCCAGTTGGCAGAACCGGTGCCACCGGCTTCACCGGTGCTCCAGGCAAAGACGGCAAGCCAGGCTTCAATGGTGCCCCAGGAGCTCCAGGTGCCAAGGGTAAGGATGGATTCCCAGGTGCCCCAGGCAAAGACGGAAAACCAGGTTTCAACGGCCTTCCAGGCAAAACCGGCCCAGTTGGCCCAGTCGGTTTCCCAGGAGCTAAAGGAGCTGCTGGTGCCGCAGGCAAGGATGGTTTCCCAGGTCGCCCAGGCAAGGACGGCAAGCCAGGTTTTGATGGTGCCCCAGGTGCTGCAGGTAAAGATGGTGCTGTTGGTCCAGTTGGTCCAGTCGGCCCAGTTGGTTTCACAGGCAGAAGCGGAAAGAACGGTCTCGACGGTGCCGCAGGTAAGGCTGGTTTCCCAGGTGCCCCAGGAAGAAAGGGAGCTACTGGTGCCCCAGGCAGAGATGGTTTCGCAGGTGCCCCAGGCGCCAAGGGTGATAAAGGATTCGACGGCCTTGATGGCCTTAATGGTAAGGATGGTGCCACAGGAAAAGCTGGTCCAGCCGGCCCAGCCGGTGCCACTGGCAGACACGGCGCCACTGGCGCTACTGGTGCCAGAGGTAAGACCGGTGCCGTCGGTCTCCAAGGTGCTCCAGGTGCCCCAGGTGCCAGAGGCAAGGACGGAAAGGCTGGTCGTCCAGGTGCTACAGGTGCCCCAGGTGCCCCAGGTCCAAAGGGTGACGCCGGCTTCCCAGGTTTCCCAGGCAAGGACGGTCTCCCAGGTGCCCCAGGTAAGGATGGTCCAGCCGGACCAGCCGGTTTCCGCGGCCCAGCTGGTGCCCCAGGTAAAGATGGCTTCCCAGGTGCCCCAGGACCAAAGGGTAAGACCGGTTTCACCGGTGCCCCAGGTGCTCCAGGCAACGATGGTGCCCCAGGTGCCTCTGGCTCTGTTGGCGCTCCAGGTGCTCCAGGTGCTCCAGGTGCCCCAGGCGCTCCAGGCGCTTCTATCCCAGTCTTCTCTAGGAAGGGTTACTATTAAACTCTGAGGAATAGGACCGCTGTGTAGTATTATTTGTTTACATCATGACAACATTTTGTTAATATATGAAGATCATATTAAATACATGAAGATATAAGCAGTCTTTTTATTCATTTCGTATCCACCCTCTACGTCAGCAGCTCTTATTCAGTAGAACTTTTAAATATCTAACTGTTTTTATTAGCTAGAGATAAAAGAAACAGGGATACGGGAAAATCACCATAATTAATTTTTGGGACAAAACTATATCATTTCAAATATACGATTCGAGTTAAGGGAACCTTTTCTTTATCACACTGAAATCACCCCTAGCCAGAATTATATCTTCAATGAAGAAACCTTCTCATCAAGTAAAATGGACAAGGGCATGAAATATGAACAAACTATACGTAATAATAAATTATCTTTATAAAATGAATGCATTGTAATTGTTTATATGTTTTTTCAACACCAAAGTCAATGAGGAATGAATTAACATGTACATTTCACCGGCTGTGGAAACATTTATTGTGTTGTTATGAAAGGGGGCTACTACCAAAATAAATAAAAATCAAATCACGTACATGCAAGGGGGGGGGGGTAATCTATGGTTTATTTTGGCTAAATTTGAATCTTTTGGAAATGTTTCTCACCTAAATATACGAGAACGAATCGTGTGCTTATTTGAATAATGGAGCGCATGTTTGAAACCTTAGTCCTCTTGGCAGCCATATCTCGTACGACAACTCGCCTTCAACGCACAAGTAAAACAAAGGACATCTTCTAAGATTTTCCCGTCCCACTACTCATGTCAATCATGGCCGTTCACTGTAACCAAGCCTTTCATACAGGGACACAATATGATAAAAATCAGAAAAACGTTAAAAAATAACAACACAATAAGTTATAAACATATAGTAAAAAGGTAGATAAAATATATAACCAATAAAATAGATAATTAATTTGAGAGACAGTGAATGGGATTTTGAGAAGCAAATACAATGAACAAATGCCCTTCGGGTCCACTTGTCCTCTAATACTTAACGACTATTACTCCATAGATTAAACTCAAAATTAACATATATTTTAAACATATCTATTTCTATGTCTTCGACAGCATCAGGATGAGTGCACGGAAATAGACTCACTGTATTTCCAAGCAGCATATCATCGCATATTATGAATAGGGGGAGTATATTCTTGTCGGAGTATATTCTTGTCGTAGAAAGATAAGATAAACCAATAACAAATACGAGAAATAAAATAAGTTCTAGTTCAACAATTCACGGGGGAGAAATTGAGATTATAAACTCTAAGCACTGCCATGCCCTCGACTTGAAACAGATGACATATTGATAGCATTGTTAGTGACATGTGATCCCAAGCGATAGTTTGACACATACATTCATTTATTGTCATCCCGATAGGTCAAATTTCCTGTCAACATAGGCCGGTGCATCCATCCCCACGGCTCATCCAATTGCCCTCAACTCAACAAGGTCAAGGAATCTTTTAGTCGTGATCATTGCCATGGCAGTTGGGGAAAAGACGCTTATTTCAACTGCTTCCTAAAACGCGTATAAGAAGGTATGCAGGGATGGGTAAGATTGGGTCAGATATGTCCCACTTTGTTGGAATCACGACCTATTGCATGCCTCAAAAATCACCCCACAGCGCGTGACGACTTCCATTAAAGTACACTCAACTCGGAACTGACTACAACTCAATACAAATAGTCTATATTTTACTTCACTTGAACATATAAAGATACCCAAACACTTTGAAATTCTGACTGTCATCGTCAACAAACGATAATTCATTGCAAGGGGTAGGCCACATGATGCTATTTATGCATACCGATTCCGCAAAACACCTTCGTCTAATCTATAGAAAGCGTGCTGGCGATCAGTTGATTTTGACACAAACTTCGAAGTCATCGTCAAAAGAAACGCAAAAACAAAGTAAAAGTGACACTTCATTCCTGACATCTTTCATTTTTACCATTTTGTCAGAAGTGGGTTTTAGATCACCTATTCTAAAACACAAATCAAATGTTGGAAGCAGCTTTCCCAGATGCAACAGAAAATCTCCCACACAGTTCCTTCGGGTTTTCTCAAGGTGTTCGGGGGAGGGGGGAGGCTGCTCACTTGTGGACAAGGGCTTTCCTAAAGAAAGGAGGGGGGTAGAAGTAGAAGACAATTTACTTTTTTCTTTTTTTCTCAGCATCGACGCGCGTGCATTTATAAATCAAATTCGGGAGCAAAGGGAATGGCGACAAGCTACATGGGGCTATCTTGCTATCTGCAAGACCCACTCCATGATTTTAAATTTCGATTGTGTCATGAATAAAGTCAATATATTCAGGACAACGTTTCCTCTTATGATTTTCTATGTGTCTGAATAGCACTTCTCAGTATATAAATTTAATCTAGTCTTAAAAACCATTACTTAGGTTAGGTGCAACCACAAGCAAAAATTACAAAATTGAATTATTAAGGAAATAAGTATGATGGAATTGACAATGTGCATGGTGCTGTTATCCAAACGCTGCACGGGTCAGAAGAAGAGAGCTGTAAGAGTACACGTTCCGTGACGCAAACAATTACTTTTCTTTTTAAGTGAGAAGAGAAGTTAAATTGGAACTTGAACACGGTAGTCTGTGTCGTTATTCCATCCTGAGATGAATCCAAGATCCAACGCTAATAGTCTCTTTCGCGGAAAAGAGAGAGGGGACATTTGGACCTGATCATTCTAGGATTTCAAAGAATAAATAAATAAATAAATAAATAAATAAATAAATAAATATAATCGAAACAAGAGAGAATGAGGAAACAAATGTTCAAAAGAAACACTCCATATGCTACAGTGTTTCTGACAAAACAATAGTTTTTGAGCAATGTGCAACACTCCTGATAGCTGTGGATCCTACAGCGCTTTTTCCACTCTGTTGAAGAGGGGGGCGGACTTAATCCACAGTTTGTTTTGGTGCATGTAAGAGGGGTGGGGGTAGGTGGAAAAGAAGGAGGTCCTCTGAATAAAACAAAAATGTTTTTTCTGATTGTAGTGATACATGCACAGTGCTGTTTTCTCTGTAAGTGAATCAATCCTGATGTACAATCAGTTCAGGGGTACATACCCTGGGATAATGACCCACACTTCTGTGTACGGCATAGGCTCTGGGATAATGACCAACACTACTGTGTACGGGATAGGCTCTGGGATAATGACCAACACTACTGTGTACGGGATAGGCTCTGGGATAATGACCCCCACTTCTGTGTACGGCATAGGTTCTGGGATGATAAGCCGCACAGAATAGTGAATAGCTGGGTAAAATTTCATTGGGGTGTATGAAGTGCCATGGTGAAAGGTCCATTTTTTCCGAAAAAGAATCTCCCTTTTGAAATTACTGGCTACAGGCCTGAGGTTGATGGCCTGCATTCTAGAGCACGGGACACAGATTCTGGAATAATGGTCTACAATCTAGAGCAGGCGACAGAGCCTGGGATAACGGGTCACGCAGGAGTACACGGGGTATAGAAGCTTGAATAATGACTCTACGTAGAAATGCGTTGAACCCATTTTTCATTCAAGAATTCCGTCGCTTCAGAAAAAAGGATCCGAGAGTTCAGAGGCTGCTCCTGGACTTGATAGAGGCAGTGAAATGGCGCACAAAAGTACGACTGACTTGGGTGGGGTGGGGTGAAAACACACATCTTAGATACAGACAGAATGATAGAGCCCCTTCGTTTTCTTTGCATGAGTAGTATAATATACGCGTAGAGTATTTTAAGTGCGTTTTTGTATTGTATTGCATCCAACCACACTCTATCCGTTTAACGTTTCTGCAATACATTCAGTACATTCTGTAGGAAGAACAATAAAATCGTTATTTTTTATGTAAATGCATAAAGCGTCCTAAACTTGCGCTTGCCCCTGCAAAAACTGACTTCCATGTTGCCGAGCATTATGCATTCTATGATAAATTAGCATAGAGATGAGATGAGCGCGTGTCTTCACGGGCGACATATCGAGATTGTCGTAGACTTGTCTGAAGCACGGTTGACACTTCTCTTTGCAAACCTGTGTTTGAAGAAGTAACGTTTTTTTAATTGAATGAATAAAGGACGGCGTGTTTCCAATTGCTTCAACAGCACGATGGTGAACGCGTTTGATTTTACCATTATGCAGTAAAGTCCCCCCCCCCCCCCCAAAAAAAAAAGATAGCGAGATAAAACCGGGATTTTTTTTGTCCTATGCCCTACGTATCATACTAAAATTGTACTTTTTGTCACCTCATAGTAACATCCCGAATTAGCCCAATTAAAAGACTTCCAACATATGTGATAGCGTAACTATCTCGGAACGTTTAACACACAGCGTCGATACTTAATGGCGCTGGCTACGTTCATTCTGTTTAGAACAGATAAATGTTCTGTGTCTAATTATGACCACTAGACATTCGTTAATTAAACAGGGAGTGTGTCATTTTACGGCTGCTGCCAGCCTTCAATACAGCGGCACCGACACTACCGAGGGATTAACGTGCAGCATGCAACAGTGCGTGGTGAGCTCAGTAGGTCCGCTGTTCAGACTGGCTGAGGTTTAGACTACCTGCCCTTATTATTAACTGAGCAGGTGTGCCTCAGACCTGACGTGAATATTCCCTTTGGTCTGGAGTTAGTAAAAGCAACCTTTTTCTCCAGTGGAATTCGATTAACACTAGAACTCATGTAAAGGAAAGGGTAACTCACCGGGAGAACGGGTTTTAGCCGTTTGTACGCGTCTACTGTGCGTCTGCATGCTACGCAAGTCGTCCTTATTGGCCCCAGTCGTCTTGCAACATGCAACTGAAAAAGAAAAAAAAAACATATATAAACGAAATAAAATATCAAAAATATCAAACATGAATTCTGGAACTTAGTTTTTACCAAACTAATAAAACTATCAAATATAGCCCCTGGACGGATTTCTACAAATCTATCTCTTCTTTACTGCTGAGGAAGATGAATACTTACATCTCACTGTCTCTCAGATTTTGATGAGATGCGGTCTGCGATGAGCAAGAAAAGTGAAACTGTACCTGGCATGAGATATATCGTCTTAAACTAGTTTTTTGCCCTCTGCGCCTATATATCGTCTTCTTACATGTGTTTATCACATCTGAGGAGAAACAATCAAACATGGGTGCAAAGTCATACCAATAAACGGGTTTGATGTTTGTCTTACTGTCGGGTAAACGATCGCACGGGTGTACAAAAAGTTTGTCATTATGAGTCGGCACACATTGGAAACAAAAATGATTTGCTACATGTACAAACGTGGAAATCCTCTCAGCGCTGTGCCATTCATTCTGTGATAAGAGTAAAGAATGTTTGAAAACTAGTTGGCAAAACTAGTTGGCAAATTGTACATGTTCGCATATATGAATACGGGTATTGTTTTTCGGCAGCGTACTGATTGCTATTCTAAGTAGCACATTTTCAAAAAACATGGGGATCTTCATATGAATAGTCGCTTGCTGATGATGGGGTATGAATAACAATGAAGTATATTTAAACTGGACTCTAGATTAACGTTGGGATCCAGGGGTTTTCATGGTCTTTCACCCTGTGCACGTCCAGCTTTATTCCCTGACGTATCACTGTAAAGTGAGTTGGAAACAGTGCTGTTTTACGTATTCCTCTCCCCCAAATTGTTTGCAAATTGAAACACCAATAAAAGAGTGGAAAAGACAGTCTGTGACCCCCCCCCCCCCCACACACACACACACTTTCTTACAATTTGGGCCCGCATTCACTGTGAACCCCCTCAAGCCCATGATAACAAATCCATCACATGGTGATGAGTAGGAGCCTATTAACGTGTCATCAGTGCAATAAAATTTGATTATCAGTGTCATTATAAAATGACACTGATAATCAAATTTCGAGTGATCTATTTTTTTTACCATAAGGTAAAAAAAAAATAGATCACTCGAAGAAACTTTATTTGTTTTACCAATGAAATATGACGTTTCAATCATTCATCAAATTTGTTACAAAAGGAAAAACAAGTTTAGTCTCTTTACAAACGGTTTACACAGAAGACAATGAAAAACCTGTTTCATCGAGTAACCTTTTAAAAAGTTTTTTGGCCCCTAATAGTAATGATCAGACCATCCTTTTAAGAATTACGTTTTAATATTAATCTAATGGATATGTATTTTAATATTAAAATAATAATTTTGTCTTAAGATAGTAACTAGTCAGGTAACCATTAAAACTGTGAAATGCCATTACTAAGAAAGATGGCTTGACCACTGCGATTACTGTCTTATTTTTAAATTGAGAGATCTTGTTTATAATTCATTTACATCATCATTTAATTAAAATAATGAAAAACACGCTGGGCGAATTGACCCTGCTCGCCGCAGCACTTATCATAGGGTACAGTGAATCTCTGTTGGGAGCACGCAAAACGACAATCAAACTACGGGGAATGACATCTTTAACTCTCTCTACTTTCTTTAAGTATGAGGGGCTCTAAAAACCTAAAATGAATACGTGCACGGGAGGTGTCACTTATTTGCCATTATTGAGTACCGCCGTCAAATGTGACTCGTCAAAATTGACCGACTCAAGCACCTCGGAACAGTGGGACTAATAGTAACACGAAGCACCGCCCACTTCGGGTCTCATGGTATAAAAGAGCTGGTTTTTCTAGGACAAGACAGACACCGTACCACTTTGCTTGGATTGGACGTTCTCAAAAAGGTATGTACAGACCTAACTGTGGAGCTAGAGTAGTATTATTAGTGGTAGCTAAGGTACTTGTCATTTGAGGAGGACGACTAAAATGCCATTTGTCTGCTGAAACAATTGAAGCGCCCCCGTTACTTTCTTTGAGTGGTCAAGTCCGTTTCGTTTGCGCTTGATTAATAGCCAGGCACTTTCTCCTAAATATTTTCTTCTTTGTTCTGTACTGAGTGTTCTGGGCTATCATACTAATACAGAAGATAATCTGAAATTTGAATCAGGTACTTTCCTTTTTTGTCATTTCTATAAACACCCGGTGATGGGTAACTGTTTTCGGAGTAGGACAATAGCTGTTATTGAAATCACAGCACTGCATTCTGAAACGCAGGCTTGTATTCATCTAGGTTTGTAACACACATTATATTTATATCGCATTGAACACACTGTCCTCAGAGCATTTTACAGTCGTTAAACAACTGGTTTCGTATTGTTTGAATTTGATAAATTCCAGGTGAATTTTCCGCGGTTTGAACCATTTACAGAATACTGTGTCATTTTCTGTAGCCTCTTTTCAAATCATCAAAACATCAAACGCTAGAGGAATTTGATAATTCATCTTTGTATAATCCTGCGACGATATTGAAGTAAAGTTTGAACTTACTTGTTTTATATACAATGAAAACAAGCTACAGTGCAAATCCGCCGGGACTTTTGAAAAAAGTACAAAAACACATTTTTGCGAAAATAAGGGCTAAAAGTAATGAAAATAAAAAAGGGCAAAATGTTGCCGTGCTGCAAGTAGTATTTTATTGCAAATAGCTTTTTGTATTACCCTAAAATTGCTTTCGGTCTGACATCATATTTTTAATGTTTTACCTTTATTACCATATATTTGACTTTTTATTGAAATGCGTGCTTCTTTTATAAATTACATTACGGTGACTGTAGGCAGAGATAAAGCTGTATTCACTCCTTTCACTTCTGACTAAAGAGTAAAAGAATAGCGCTATTTTGTAGTGGCCGAGTAGTTTTCGTGTCTAACGTTCTGTTCTTACTGTTTATTGTTAATCTTGGCGCCGACGTCGCGGTGGGCATGCACATTAAGCATTGAAAAGGTGTGTGTGTGTATTCAATGCACTTTAGATAGAGATTCAACATTAGATTTTTTTGCAACATTTATATAAAGATTATCGGCCTTGATTCATTTTTTTTCTTTCAAAGTGACATCGAACAGAACACTTCTCATTGATTAACTGTCGATGAAATTTGACGTGCATGAAAATAACCCGTACCACACAGAGCTTTTAAAAACGTTCTCTAAATTTCATACTGTTCATATGTAAAGTTTTAAATTGCAAATTAGTACGCGCGTACCCTATAAAACGTGAATCACGCTTCAGAAACACGTTTGAAAAACATTTGATGATCAACAACATTTACAAAAGATTGGTGTTTGTTAGAGCATTTTAAAACATGAATTTACGTGAGGCAAATTACTCAAAATTCTCAGCATTCGTTTTGTGTAAAATATCGAGATCAGTTCAAAGGCGCGCACAGTACGACCCAGCCGAAAGATAAAATCGGGCGTATTTCTGGATTTTCGAGTAAATGATGATGTATTGCATTTCATTAGCCAGCGTTAACACGCAAGGGAGATGTAGCACCAGCCAGAGCGATCAAAGGTCCACCTGTTATCGTTTTCGCGTGTTTTCATAGACGGTGCCTTCGCATAAAAAATATAACGTGATGAAGTTAATAATTTGGTGCATGACATCCTCACTAATCCGCTGATTTGTCTTTCCACTTGAAGCGATTAAAATGTCGAATGCTTTGTCTTTGTTATCTCTGATATCTTAAGTAGACCTTTGAAGGACTGATAGACTTGTTAATGTTTTTTATTGCTGTGTGATATCATAATGAGTGATCGTAAAGAGCAAACGAGACAAAGCTCGATTTGAAAGATATTTTTTTAACAATAGAGATGGCACTTGTGTACTAAGAAGATAATTGGCATCATACCACACTGAAAGGTCATGACCCTCCTTCAAGCGACAGGCTCGTTATGGCAGTTTAATAGAATTATAGCATTTTGTTTAAATTATATGTTTACAAATCATTAGCTAAGATAAACCAGACTAGACAACGGCAGTGATAACCATTATCATTTCAAATTCCATTAAGATGCATAAGATGACCATGATCGGACTTCGTCTTATAGTGTTTTTTTATCAAATTATGTACAGATTTTTTTTAGAGTTAAGTCGTAGTGAGCTTATAATCACAAGCATTTGCCACAAACATTCTAAGAAGGTGCTTTAAAACTCGTTTACCTATAAAAAAGCTTAATTTTTGCAGGTAATATGCCTTTTACAAACGAACGTATTAAGGCATAGTGACCTGTTATTCATACAGAGAGAAAAACGCTAATAGTCATCAGCCTGATCTCGAAGAAAATCTCACGCATTTTTCGCATTACAGACATTTTTTTGTTTCTTTTTTTCTTGAATTGTTTATAGTTTAATGTTTTTGACATTCGATTATGACTTTTTGTTCAAGTCTCGAAACTGCTTGTCATTTAGAGGCATTTAAGCAGATTTGACCTGAAAATAATTTGGAAAACAGTCACAAATATTGTGCTTTTTCGTGTCGACAGAAATCCATTTAGTCAATATAGAGATAAATTGATGCATTTCTAATGACAAATTTAAGTTTTTATTCGCATTTAAGAACGCACCGTATGGGGGAACGCTGATTCACTTCACAGAAGACAAAAACGCAATTTACATGTCAATCAAAAGGCGCAGGTGTCATTTAAAACACTTTTAATTACTTTTAGACACGTAAAGGCGCACAAAGACATAATATTTGACTGCCAAAGGTTGAAAGAAATCATTGTACATTGAATTATCACCCAACGCTACAGTAGGCACAGTGTAGTTGGATCTATTTGACACCGCCCGAGCAGCTTCACACCGCTCCTGACAATATACATGTATACCCTGTGACTTAGAATAATGATTTTTCACGTTTGTTTACTATACTCTCAAATTTCATATCTCTTTTCTTTTGCAGGGAAAATGCACGCGTGGCTAGTTTTCGCCACTCTTGTTGCTGCTGCATCTGCAGGTTAGTCCTATTCAGAAATTGAATTGTATTAGGTTATTAGATACATGTGTCTTTCTAAATGGGCTGTTTACCCTCTTATTTCACACATTGTTATGGTGTACTAGCAATGTCAATATATGTCCCTGGTAAGTTGTTATCTTTGAAATCCCTTCATCTACGAGTACGAAGAGAGAGCTCCACGTTATTTCGTGACAATATTTACTTTTTATATCACTAAATAAATAACCACCAACACTATATTTTGATTAGCTTTTATCTGGACATAAGAAATGTAATGCAGATGAGAATTCGTTATCTCAAATCTAAAATCAATTATTTATGTTTTCTTTAAGCTTATTACTCCGATGTATGCAACCCAAACCCATGTCTTAACGGAGGCAAGTGCATCGTTAACGGCCCAGACTCTTTCTCCTGCCGCTGCGCCTATGGATTTAAAGGAATCGTGTGTCAATTTGGTATGTCCAAGTCCATACATCTTTTGGTAGACACGTGACTCCATATAGATAATGAAACCGTGAACTTAAGTAGACACAAGTCCAGATATGCCGCAGGACAAAAACTATATATTGTACTGAATAACAGCTGCAATGTGATAGAATCGCAGACAGAACGGAAAGTTGTAATTAAAAACTTCCAAATAATCTTCAAGATTTAAATATGTGTTCAGTATCTTAATACCTTTTATCTGTGTTTCATTCTATTCATCGATTTGATTAAGTTTAGCGACATGCTGCAAATATATCGTGCTGCAAAAAGACGCTATGAAATAAATCACCAACGTGTTCTTATACTTCAGATCAGAGCGGCGAGCTTGCTTGTTACAGCAGGAAATGTGTAGGTCCACCAGGTCCACCAGGCCCTCCAGGTCCACCCGGAGGGAAAGGAATTGGCATTGCTGGTACGTGCAAGAATCTCTGCCGCGAAATTCTTTTCCTTGTGCCCCACTCCCGTAGCAAAATACTGTGTCCCTCATTGTTTTAATTATTTTTGTGTTGAGTGCCTTTTATCATTTACCCCTCCTTAACTTGCTTACGTATTTTATCGAGTCTATTGTGCGACAGACTGTTAATCTCAGATCTGTTTATCTTACTCTATTTTCGATCATTTAATCATTTATATGCATTGACTTATAATGTTATTCTTCCTTTGTGCCAATAATTTAATTACTTGAGACTCGATACCTTACAAATAACAAGGTATTCAAGGTAGCGGTCACCGGTGCTGTGGCGTATTGCATACTCTTTGAAATCATTATCACACGCTGTATGGTTTCTTTTAAAAGGACGTCCAGGTAAGGACGGCTATCCAGGTGCTCCAGGCAAAGACGGTCTTCCAGGTGCCCCAGGCAAGGATGGTTATCCAGGTGCCCCAGGCAAGGCTGGCCATCCAGGTCCCCAAGGCAAGGACGGTAAACCCGGCTATGACGGTCTTCCAGGTGCCCCTGGCAAAAAGGGAGATACTGGTAAGAATGCACTTCAGCTGTAACTCCGTAAAATTGATGCAGTTGTGAAAAATATTATATTATAATTTACATAGAAAGTTTCAAACTAGTCCTATAAACTTAATGAATAGAAATTATGTTAAGCTTGTTATATTGAAAGGATACTATTTGCCTGAAGCTAACCAACACGCGCATCAAAACTGGTTCCCACGTAGTTCAACTATATCCATCACTTATTATAGGCTTCCCAGGAGCCCCAGGCAAAGCAGGCAAACCAGGCTACGATGGTCTTCCAGGCAAACCAGGCCCCGCCGGTAAAATTGGTGCCCCAGGCAAGGATGGTTACCCAGGTGGTCCAGGTAAACCAGGCAAAGACGGCTACCCAGGTCTCCCAGGTAAAGACGGTTTACCTGGACTCCCAGGCAAACCAGGTCCTAAGGGTCCAGCTGGTTTCCCAGGTAAACCAGGTAAGGACGGCTACCCAGGTCCAGTGGGCAAAGTTGGTCCAGTCGGATTCCCCGGCAAGGATGGCAAACCAGGTTATGATGGTCTTCCAGGCAAAGACGGCAAACCAGGATATCCTGGACCAAAAGGCGACACAGGATTCCCAGGTGCTCCAGGCAAACCAGGCAAGGATGGTTACCCTGGTCTTCCAGGTAAAGACGGCAAACCAGGCTATGACGGTCTCCCAGGCAAAGATGGCAAACCAGGTTATGACGGTCTCCCAGGCAAGGACGGCAAGCCAGGATACCCAGGACCTAAAGGTGAGCCTGGTCTCCCAGGTGCCCCAGGCAAGGACGGCTACCCAGGAGCTCCAGGCAAGAAAGGTCTTAACGGACTTCCAGGCAAACCAGGTTACGACGGTCTCCCAGGTAAAGTTGGTCCCGTTGGACCTATTGGTCCAGCTGGCAAACCAGGTCTCAATGGTCTCCCAGGCAAAGATGGTAAACCAGGTTATGATGGTCTCCCAGGTAAGGTCGGTCCAGTTGGACCAGTTGGCAAACCAGGCAAGCCAGGATATGATGGCCTTCCAGGCAAGAATGGTAAAGATGGTTATCCAGGACCAGTTGGCCCAGTCGGCCCTGTTGGACCAAAAGGCAAGGATGGCTACCCAGGCCTTCCAGGCAAAGATGGAAAGCCAGGCTATGATGGCCTTCCAGGAAAACCAGGTCTTAAGGGTAAGGATGGCTACCCAGGCCTTCCAGGCAAAGATGGCAAACCAGGATACGATGGTCTTCCAGGAAAACCAGGTAAAATCGGTCCAGTTGGCGCCCCAGGCCTCCCAGGCAAAGATGGCAAACCAGGATACGATGGTCTTCCAGGAAAACCAGGCAAAGACGGCAAACCAGGTTATGATGGTCTGCCAGGCAAGCCAGGAAAGGTTGGTCCCGTCGGTCCAGTTGGTCCAGTTGGTCCAGTTGGTTATCCAGGAAAACCAGGCAAAGATGGTCTGCCAGGCCTCCCAGGTAAGGATGGCTACCCAGGCGCTCCAGGCAAGAAGGGTGCTCCAGGCCTCCCAGGCAAGGATGGCTACCCAGGCGCTCCAGGCAAAAAGGGCGACAGAGGTTTCGATGGTCTCCCAGGCAAGCCAGGACTTAACGGTGCCCCAGGTGCTAAAGGTCCAATTGGTCCAGTCGGTCTCCCTGGCAAACCTGGTCCAGTCGGTCCAGTCGGATACCCAGGTAAGGTTGGTGCCCCAGGCCCAAAAGGACCAGTTGGTGCCCCTGGCTACCCAGGCAAGCCTGGTAAGGATGGTCTCCCAGGCCTCCCAGGCAAAGCAGGCTACCCAGGACCAAAGGGCGAACCAGGCCTCCCAGGTCTTAACGGCAAGGATGGCTACCCAGGCAAGCCAGGCAAACAAGGCCCAGTTGGTCCAGTCGGTTACCCAGGCAAAGTCGGTGCCCCAGGCAAGGACGGCAAACCAGGTTACCCAGGACCAAAGGGTGAGACAGGCTACCCAGGTGCCCCAGGCAAACCAGGTAAAGATGGCTACCCAGGTGCCCCAGGCAAACCAGGTGCTCCAGGCGTCGTTGGTGTTCCAGGCAAGGCTGGTATTCCAGGTGCTTCTCTTCCAGTTAAATCCTCTAGGAAGTACTATTATTAAATATCATATCTATTGGTATGGGAAAAGAGACTCAAGCTAAGTTTGAATTAAACATCACACAATTGAACACCGGATTGAAAGTTTTATAACTCGAACTATTTAAATGATGCCGCAATGACGGACAGTTGTGTCAGTAATAAGATTATTGCACGCTGTTTTCACCAAGCATTTGAATCTGTGGAAAATACCATTGCACAATAAGTTTTAATGAAAGGTATAATTCGGATTGGAATTGTACTTATAATTTATTAAGGTCATTGGTATTTTTGAGATCAATAATGTAAAGGTGTTCAAAAAATAAAGTAAGATTATGTTTTAAAATATACTACTGTTGTACGTCTCCTTTGAAAATATTTTGTTACATATACTAGTAGCTAGTTGATTTAAAGTTTTATTATATACAGAAAATAACTAAAAAAAAGACAAATACATTAGTGTGGCATTTTCCCTATTTATGAATTTCAAACTCTATTACATTCAAACACCTTGCATTAAAATATGAGCACACTTTCCCTGAATAATGAACACCGCCATTTTGTTTTATTTTTAACATGTGAATTAATTCTCAGCTTGTGAGTTTCTTGTGCTAACATAACTTTTGTCTCAATAATTAAGTATATTTAACAAACAACAACAAGGGCACATAAAGTCTCAAACGTCAGTGCTGTGCTAGTATTTCCTTATAATGAGAATTGCATCTTGATCCCAATAAAGAAGATAACCAGGCCTACCCAACTACCAGACTCGGCACCTACGGATCCAGAATAAACCGGTATATCAGACCACACTACCCGTTTTCAAGGTGTGTGTCAGATCGCATTACGGAGTATCATACCCCATCACAAATTTTGTAGGCCTACCTGTCATCCGGGTATCGCTTAGGATCATCGCTATCACATCGCGCGCCAGGCAAAATGGGTGAAGTGGCTGATACTCCGTAATGCGATCTGACACACACCTTGAAAACGGGTAGTGTGGTCTGATATACCGGTTTATTCTGGATCCGTAGGTGCCACGTCTGGTAGTTGGGTAGGCCTGATAACGCGAAAAGGGAAGACAGGCGGTGAAATGATCAAATCATCCACTAGGCAAATGGGGTAGATGTTTATTTATTTATTTATTTATTTATTTATTTGTGTGTCGTGTCGCACGAAAATTCCTTGTAAACAAACAAAGCTAAGTTGGGAGAGGGGCAGACTTCTGTTTGGAGTGAAATATTTCTAAAATCAAATTCTATCTATGCGTCAAGTCTAGCAATAGAACAGTTGTATTGAGAACAGTTGTATTGGTGTAGAGCATAACTGGGAAAGTTTTACAGGGGAAATGTGGTAGTTGTTCCCCATATTCTACATAGACAACACTAATATCATTTATCATTGGCATTTTTTTACTTTAAATAAATAGTTTTACTATAGGCAAAAGTTCTCACGAAATCAGAGTACATATACTTACGTGGACTGCCATCGATCTACTACTTTACTATCTTAACAGATTTTATAAGTCATGCAATCCAACGCGTTGGTATGCTTGTGCTTGGTTGTTTTTGAGACACAGTCGTCACGGTTCCATTAAGTTGTCGCCGTCGAAAATGTACGACAATGAAAAATATGTCCAGGCTAATCAAGCAAAGCTGGTATTGGGTTGTATAATATTCTAAAAATCAAAGTAAATTTTTTGAATAGATAATTTGAAATAATATTAACCGTTCCGTGACTTAACTAGTTACAGTTGATACTGTTTAAACATGTACCGATGCAATTAGGAGGTCCATAGCCAGAAATTTATTTGGTTAAGGGGGAGGGTGCAACTAGAAATAAAACAGGCTTTTCCATAATATATTATTTACTGTAGCTGGGGTTAGGACACTGTTTTCTCTGGCATACAAGGAAAACGAAAAGAGATTAAAATTAACCAGTTTTCAGTTGACAGTTAAGGCCAAATGCGTTTTTTTTTATGACAGTAACCCTAAGCTTGGTGTTTGAAACCCAAAACCATGTATATAAACAGACTGTCCGGGGCGTAACAATTGATCTACTATTTACCTGGTTCCATGCTAAGGTAAAACGCCTTCTAACTATGCACTTTCCTTGGTCACTTGTAAACACTCGTTTGAACCATGTGAAAGGATACGTGAATTTCTAAAAAAAAAAAAAAAAAAAAAGGCACTTATTTAAAGCAGCGACAGGACATCGGATCCCATTTCTTGAGAGCAAAATAACATGCAACTAATACAAACAAACGGGCTATTCGAAACAAATATAGGGAATGTTCTAGACAGCAGTGGCTGCGCACGAAACGACAAGCACAAATTTAAACACATAACCATACAAATGTAGCGATAATATGCCAGATATACATGCTACTGCAAACAATACTGTTATCTACAAACAGTCAGCTTCTAGGAAATGTTACAACTTCCAGGAAATTCTTCAAGATCCGCTTTTTATTAACATGGACAGGTAACTGTAAATCACACTCTAACGGACGATCGTGCAGCTTCTAAAAAAAAACAAAAAACAGACACAACATCCGTGATATGTATAATTAACACAGACACAGAAATGTAAATTCTACTCTTATCGACGAACGTACGCAACTTCTGAGAAACAGACAGAACTTCCATGCTATATCTATTAAGACGGACACGCTGTACTCATTGTAAATCTTAACAGATGCTCTACGGTTTTTATTTTCCCCTGGATATTACCTCGTGGAAATTCTGAAGTCAATTAGCGGATATAATTTTCTAAAAGACACAGATAAGAAATGACTCGCACTCTTATTCGATATCTGTGTAAATGACATACCAACTATGGGGTCGGAACCAGGATAAATGTTGCGGGGCATGAAAAATGTGAAGAGATATACGTGAGAAACTACATTAAACCTTTATGATGACGAAAAAGATAAAATACCCTGTATGTTTAATCATTCCAAGCTAGGCACCCCTTGTGTTATATGCATGTAATAAAAACAATGTACAACCATGAATATATAAAATCTCAAGGCATCAGGGTTATTTTGGTATCATATTTTAATTGATAAGAATAATCTGTACAAATAATTGTCCTGTTAACATTGATATTTCTGTTCAAAAGCAAAAATACAATTTGTATAAAACATTGATATTTGACACACAATTTAGCCAAAACAGAGAGCGTATAATAATGATTTGTTACCCAATATAGAAATTACCATTCTTGTCGGTAGACAAATTAGAGCGAAAAGGGGGTGGGGGGTGGAGATCGTTACGAACTGCACATGGTCTTCACACTGTAAGCTATTCTCATAGGTCGTTAGGGCCACTTAACTGGTCACTCCGCCAATCTCTAGACATTCGATGTCTTTATTTACGATACATAATCAGTTAATCAATTTAACGGTATGATTTTAAGGGGGTGGGGACACTCTTTGCACTTCGAATTGATGAATCAGTTAGAGTTCTGTCAGAACAGCTGAAATGGCCTCTGATAGAGGAACCCTGACAAATGTTTTCAAATTTTCAAAGTGTTTTATAAAATGCAGATAGTCTGCCCGTTCACCATTTAACAATAATTGGCTCTTCTGCATACAGGAGAATCGAATACAAATTTTCAACACCTAACCGAATGTCAAGAAGAAACAACGAACACAAAACTCACTTCCATCACAAATGTATATGCCGCGTCATCTACGTCACCAAAGAATCAGTAAATTCCGGGACTTAAGTTTTTCAATCGTGTTTTTATCATTTGGGTTTTATCAAACTGCCTATTGATAGCGACTGCCACGGTGTACGCGAGGACACGGTGCAGTGACGCAAACATTTCATATTTGCGATAATATTTGCGTTACCGATTCATGTCACTTAATTTTCAAGTACTGTTAATCTATTTCCATGATAACAAGATAATAAGTTATAAAACTTATTACTAAGTTGGGGCTGCCATTCCCGTTTCTCCCACGCAAACTTAACACGTGTCTGGCCCATGTGTTATTTATGCCCTGACAAAACAAATAGAAAAAGAAAGAAAAAAGGCTGGAATTACTTGTAATGAGAGACGGAAACGATTCAGAGGTAGCTTCACCCCCCTATCACGAGCATCACGGTACGAAACAAGTATTCTTAATCCATGTGCAATACATATTATAGTAAAACTGCCCCGTTTTTTCTTCCGTCTCCCTCTTCTCCTACCATGGACAATTCTTTCATGCCCTACCAAGAAGACTTGGATCCATCAGCGACTGTAAATGATGGATAGAAAGGCAGTTTGAAAAATAAGGATAACTACCCGGTATATCATTTTTCTTGCGGCAGATATCTATTAAAACGACGACAGCATCGTCCTTGTCAATACTACTACAAATCTCTTAGTAAGCCGTGCTACCCAGATAACATGTCATTGGCATTATTAGACGTGCTCAGTCTTCGCCTCATCTTCCAGTCCAATTATTCCATTTACCAAAATACTTGGTTAGCCGCATTATTGAATAGAAGTTGTTCTTTCAAAGCCTGGTTAAAGATGAAATCTTCGAGACGTCTTTTTTTCCGAGAAAGAAACAATTCTCTCGTGTGTTAATGGTAAATAGTGCTTTACTCGTGTGGCACTGTGGTTTTCGTCTTGTTTCAAGCGCATTTTCGTGAAGCTGGTTTTAGCAGTTTTGGTATATAGATTCAGTCCCCGCAAGCTTAAAATTGTATGGTATGACCGTGCACCTGAGCACTTAAGTTCGGTGTGTCTTTTTTTATTCCCAATTTTTGCTATCAATTCTCTTTGTATCTTTCTTTCTTTCTCTATGCTATGTCATCTTTTTACTTTGAATTAAGTAAATTTCCCTTCGATTTTTGATTCATAGCATTACTTTTGTGTTTTAGAGTGTGCTTAATTATGGGTGACCTTCCAAGGGATAATAACAAAAGATGTTTGCGCCCATCAAAAGTGCGTTCAGACAGTACTAAAAATGGAACGGAAAACGTTCTGCCATCTGCATCCTAGCGGTAAAAATTTGGACCCAGCAGAAAAAGTATGATGGGTACAAGGTAAAACTATATTGTTTTTATTTGTCCTGTATATGCTTTGAACAGTTGTCCAACCTACAATATCTTCAAAACTTTACATACAACTATATCTTATAATGACATTTAATTTTATTGGATCATTGTTTTACAATGGCTACAGCCCAACAATTATTTATGACAAAAATAACATATGCCAATGTATAAAATTGAAAAGGACCTTTACATTTATCTAACTAGTACAGTAGTACTTAGTAGTAATACTAAAAGCGAGAAAGCTTAGATTGTGATAAGTTGGTGCTGGG